TGAAACTCTGAACAGTGCTGTCAGCTGCAGCTGACCATAGGAAGGTAGCAGGATTTAATTACTGCATTGAAACACTGTTTTTAGGACACCTGTGCCCTATTAGCAACAGGGTATGAAAGGCCTGTTGAGAAACTATAACTTAATATAGCTTATAGTTTAGAATGATTAATTGGTTTATATTTGTCCTCTCCCACTGTGCCAGAACAAGGCAGGTTGAGTGTTTTATCTCAGGAAGAACAGAACAGATGTGTTGTCAGACCATAGATCATGAGTGCTCATTAACTTTTATTATCTTTATGAAATGGTAGATAGCAAAGCCTAGTTTTTGATGCTTGAAAATGTGTTGTGCATCTAATGTTGCAAAGCCATTAAAACCATAAACTGTGAAATGTAGCTTAATGACTTCTACTGTATGTTCCATAGTCAAATAAGATTGAAAATGGAATAAGAGGGAGAAGGTGGTTGGCCTGAATTTTCCAGGCACTTAGGGACTTCTATATGTACAGCAGAAAAAAAAATTGGGGTCATCTCTGCTTTGGAAATATGAATTCTATTTAGGAATATAAACTCAAAATTGTAGTTCTGGTTTATTTGGACTGTTCTTCAAGAACAATGAGCTGATTCAAGTACACCTCAGTAGTGTCTCAGAAGCCTTGCTCTTCTCCCCTTCCAGATCTGAGCAGGAGTAGAATCTCTTCATGATGTCCAACCTGGATATATGAAGCCTAGAGCTCATAGATGCTTTGCTAAACCTTTTGAATAGGCGAATAAAAACCCCCTTATTTATCACTCAGGAGATGCAGACATTCAGTATTCCACAGGTGTTCTTCCAAGTTGTAATGTGTAGATGGTTTTCCCGTAAGAGTTCTGTGATGTTGCACTGGAATCAGGTGTAGAAGTTGAACCAGGCAACTGTCATTCTATTTGTAGACGTAGTGGGTTGATCTTTGAAGGAAAGAAGTCTTTCCAGTTCTGCTTCCTGGACACAAGAGCATCCAGTCACCATTCTAAAGAGCTTGTAAATAGCTGTTATAAGACATTCTATTAAATACATCTTTCAAGCAATTATTAAATACAAAAGGATACTAAAAAAATACTCTAGCATTATCCCACTTTCTAATGCAACTTTTGTCTTGATAATTTCACAGAGTGCAGTGAATTCACACAGGAACTGTGATATGATAATTCAGAGGGCTGTGCTGCCCTTCAGAGGGACCACGATGGGTTGGAGAGATGGGTAGAACAGAACCAACTGAAGTTCAACAAGAGCAAGTGCAGGGCCTGCACCTGGGGAGGAGGAACCCCAAGCACCAGTACAGGTTGGCACTGACCTGCTGGAGAGCAGCTCTGTGGAGAAGGACCTGGGGGTCCTGGTGAACAACAAGCTGTCTATGAGTAAACAGTGTGCCCTGGTGGTGAAGTAGGCCAATGGAAATTCTGGGATGCATTAAGAAGAGCATTGCCGGCAGGTCAGGGAGGTGACCCTGCCGCTCTACTCAGCCCTCGTGAGGCCACACCTGGCTGCTTGCTCTTCATTTAAATAAGTGTGTGTGTGCAGTCTGCTCGTCTGGACCTTTCTGGAAATGGGTTGAAGGCTTTGAGGGTCTTTTGGTGATGTTGATCTTTCTCTACTGGTCTTGTCCTCTCCTTGCCCCCTTGTCCTGCTCTGTGGTGTGAGGTCTGTATGTACCAGAATAGGGAGGTTGGCCTCAGAAAGGTGCTGTGCCATCTCCTTATGCCCTCCTTTTCCAGTCATATCCTGTTCTAACTTCCCTGCTTGAATGGCCATCAGTGTTTGAAGCATAGTAATGTCTTAACTCCTTACTGCCCAGGCTTCTGCAGTCACCACCACACTCTTTTGGATTGTGATGCAGCTGTTGAAGAGTGGAGAACAAGAAGGCATTTTCAGCTTTTCAGATTTTGAGGGCTAAATTCTTTTTCTCTATAGTTCCCATGCTGTATTTTATATAGAATATAATAATATTTAAATAAATATAAAGAAAAATGTGTGAGATATATACATGACTTAAATCAAAAACATTTTAATTGTATGCATTTTTATAGATACATAAACTTTATCAGTGCTGCTATAGTAAAGTGCTACACACCAGTGTTTGTTTCCCATTAACTGGATGATTTTGCTTTTTATACATTAAATAAAGTAGATTTAAAGTATAATAATATTTAAATAAATATAAAGAAAAATGTGTGAGATATATACATGACTTAAATCAAAAACATTTTAATTGTATGCATTTTTATAGATACATAAACTTTATCAGTGCTGCTATAGTAAAGTGCTACACACCAGTGTTTGTTTCCCATTAACTGGATGATTTTGCTTTTTATACATTAAATAAAGTAGATTTAAAGTTTTAGTTTGGATTTAACTGGATGATTTTGCTTTTTATACATTAAATAAAGTAGATTTAAAGTTTTAGCTTAGTTTGGATTTTGCATGTATGTTTGTGTTTTCCTCAGCTTCATTTTGAGATAGCAGATGAATTCTAAATCAGGCTATTGAAATTATGGGCAAATTGGTGATTTGTATATGCAGCTGCTGGAACTGAGAATTTTTATCATGCCCATAGAAGAGCATTTGTCCAGTTAAGAAGTAAAATCAGCTAAACTGATGCTAAGAACCAAAGCTTTAAATCAACTAGATTAAATCTCCTTGGGGATTCTTGAGTTGTAAAGATAAGTGCTTTTCAAGCCAGAACATCTGTTTTATCCAGACTTACTATAGA